GGGGCGGGGGGGCAGAGCAGAGAGGTAGACTTGGGGGCTAAAAGAAGAAAAGAGGGACTTCCCTCATGCTCCCCACTGCTCTCCTGTCCCAGACACCACCACCACCACCACCACCACCCCACTTCCCCCTACTGTACCCCTTGCCTGCCACACCCCTGTTACTTCCCCACATCCTGTTCCCCTAGATCCCTCCTGCAGCCCCACTCACCAGACCCAGGTGACCCCAAAACCAGCTTCGTCTGGAGGGCTGTGAGAAACATCGAAGGCGGAAGCAGTTGTCATGATAGGCGAAGATCCAGGTCAGGACTCGGGCCAGGAGCCAGGAGGCCCCGGCCAGCAGCAGGAGCAGCCAAGGGGAGGCTCCCGAGGGCCAAAATCCCAGCCAGGACAGGCTCAGCATGGGCATCCTGCAGACCAGACCAGGAGAGAGGGTGCGAAAGGTGAGCCCAGAGGCAGGGGCATAAAGTTGAGGGAGCCACCAAGGATGTGGGTCCTGAGAACAGGGTGAGAGGCAGAGACGGATCAATTAAGGGCTGGAGAGGGGATGGAGGGAGACAGTGAGCGAGCGAGATGGTGAGAGTGAAGTTGACGGGAGTCCAGGAAGCCCCAACTCCAGCCAGCAGGGAGTGGAAGGTTGCAAGGACCTCAGGTTACTGGAGTCCGCTCTCTTCCTGGAGACTCCTCAGCTGTGGGGACCCTTTCCACCCAGGAAACTCCGCACCCCGACACCTCCCACCTGGCTCGTTCTCTCTCCAGTGGCTTTCAGCTTTAAAAAACACCTCTTCCCTCTGTCTTCTGGTATTTGCTTGTGGCTAGCTCAATCCAGACTGTTAGTAGGCAGGCCGAGGGCCAGCCAATACCTGCAGACCTAGCAGTCTCCTCCCTTTGGGCAACCAGCCCAAGACTTGGGGGTGGGCCAGAGAGAAGCAGCTGGCTCAGGGCAATGAGGAAACTGGAATCTTGAGACTGGGAAGCAGCAGACAAAAAAGCCTGATCAAGTATTCAAGGACCAAGCCGAGCCCTTTCCCAAACCAGCAAGGACCACAGGGAGGGGGTGACATGCCCATTTCTCAGAATAGGAATCAGAGGCATAAGGACAGGAAGATGCTGGCCCAGGTCACCCAACCTGGCAGGATGCCTACCAGCCCAGGAGGCCGTGGGAACAAAGCTCTAGCTTGACAAAAGATTCCCGGAGAAAGGGCCCAGGTTAGCCAGGACACCTGGCTGGCAGCTATGTGGACCTGGAGGAGGAGGAAAGGGCAGTAAGATGAGCCCAACAGCAGTCTTGCATGGGGAGGGCAGAGTGAGGGTACCTGGAGTGGAGTCTGCCTCTGCTGTTCCATCTCTGGGCCTCAGCTTTTCTATCTGGGAAGTGGGACATTCGATGGCGGATCTTATTACAAGGGGTGTAAATGTTAACCCCATCAGAATTTCCCCCTCTGGGTAGGATCTCACACACACACACACACACATACACACACCAGGTTTCACCATGGTCCATTTGAACGGAGAGTGGCTGAATGAGAGCCACTATTCCTCCTGCAGCTGATAGACTGTTGGGAGAGACCCACAACCCTCCTCTGTCTCCAGATCCCTGCCAGCTCTTCCTGCACCAGCTCCACCTGGCTGGTCCTGGAGTCCTCAGACAGTTGGAGGGCACCCCACTGGGTAAATCTGCTGCACAAGACCTCTTAGAAATGTTCAAAAGTAACCTGACTAGATTGGAGCATGTACACTGGTACAGATAAGAGCTCTTGACACACGGAATCCAGGAAAGATCCTCCCCTCTTCATCCCCCGGAACAGTAACGGGAGTAGAGATACCACAGGGGGCGAAGGGGAACTGATTGCAAGGATTGCAAGGATTGACGTATTAACCCGCACCCTGGGCGGGTTCACGAGGGTGGGAAGTGGGGGAGGAAGGGAAGAAAGAAGAGCTGATACCAAGAGCTCAAGTAGAAAGAAAATGTTTTGAAAATGATGACGGCAACATACATCCAAATGTACTGGGTACAATTGATGTATGGGTTGTTATAAGATCTGTAAAAGCCCCCCCCCCAATAAAATGGTTTATAAAAATAAATA